CCTGCCAGGAGCCTGCTCCGGCCCTGCAGGCGGCACCGCCCGTTAAGCCCGCGGCTCACGTGCTTCTCTCCCAAGCCGGCGCTGGCCTCCTTGCCCAGTGACCACAGCCCGGCGGGACCTTGGTCTCCGGGCAGACGGCGCCGCCTCCCCGCGGCCTTCACCCTGACCGCTCTGGGCGCGGGTGCTGGGCCTGGGCCGTCCATGGTATGCGGAGTCAGCAGGCGCAGCCGCCGGCTCTCCACACCCAGGCAGCCGCCCCCACCCCATGCTGCCCTGGGGCCGGCTGGGCGGTGCAGGGGACCCGGGTGGGCGCTAGTGGGCGAGAGGCCAGCCGGGCTTCAGGGACAGCCCGGGTGCCTGCAGGGCATGGTGGCGACCACATTTGCACGCCTTCCTCCTAGAGAGGCCTGGGGCAGGCCCGGCCACCGGGCACCGCCTGACCGGGTCTTGAGGAGAGACAAAAAGCAGACGGGGAGGGCAGCACTGCGCAGGGCCTGAGCCGCAGGGCGGCTGGTGGGGGCCGAGGCCATCCGAGGGGCCCTGCGGGTCGCGGCACCAGGCCCTCGGTAGGAAGGGCGGCGGGCAGCGGCCTCCCGCATGGCCACCTCCTGCCCCCTCGACCCCCTCCCTGTGGGCTGGACGTGTCCGGGGTGCCACGAGGCCCGTGAGGGTGCTGCGCACGCTCCCTGCCTACACACCTGCCCCCGTGAGCTGGGCCCCCCGGTGCTGAGGGCGCCCGGCTGGGAGGGGACAGTCTGAGGCCAGCTTGGGACCCGGCCGCGGTGGTGGCCGCCTCCGAGGTGGCCCCGCAGGCTGTGGGGCCCGCGGTGTGCGCCGCCCGCCCAGGTCCGCGCTCAGGAGTACCCCTGGGCTGCCGGCTGCTGCCTCCCAGAGGGCAAGGCGCCCCCGCGCCACCCCCTCTGGTGTGAGGGGTTCCCCTCCCCCGCCCTCCTTGGCCGGCTGCGGGATTTAGTCTCAGGAGTGAACTTCAGACTCATTTGTCAGGTTTCAAAAGTCACTTGGTCCCTCCCGCGGCCGGGACGGCGCCCCCAGTCTGCGCCTCGTTGGTCCGGGGACCAGAAGCCTGAAGGCTGAGCCCCTGCGGGGAGCCCCATCGGCCGCCGCCCCTTCCCCCCTCCCCCCGCGAAACGAGTGCCCAACCCCCGCCTCGCTGCCCAGACTCCCTGTGCCAGGCCCCCAGGTGCCAGGTCCCCACGCCCAGCCGCCTCGCGTGCCCAGCCCCCACCCCGCGTGCCAGGGCCCCCCACTCAGCTTTCCCCCCGGGCCCCCACCCCCTCACACCTAGCCCCCCCACACTCAGGTGCCCCCAAGAACTCCAACACCCACCCAGCCCCAACCCAGGCCCCTACCTGCCCACGCCGCACCCAGCCCTCCTTCCCTAGGACCCCTGCACCCCACCTGTGACCAGCCCGCGCTG